TCTGGCCCACATGTAAACAGTGGTGGCCTCCCCGCTCCCTCCTCCTGAAAAACAGAAACCCTCTCCAGGTGTGGGCTGCTCAGTGCCTTTACAATCCCCGCTTCCCACTGTCCACTATGTGTGGAACTGAGGCTAATCTCAGAACACTCCTTTTCTGGTTAAAAATACCTAGGATGGGCCTGGGCTAGAGGAAGGCCTGTGGAGCCCTTGAGGGCCGGGGTTTGATCCCCAGCACGTCCAACAAAGAAATCATGCACCGCAACTATTAAATAGTTCTTGGGAAAGCGAAAGACCTTTCTCTCAGGGTCGGAACATTTTGAAAACCCTGTTTGGGAGAAATCTTCAGAGTGTACGAAGCAGAAACAGGATGGCCAGAGCACTTTTGAAATTTGAAAGATTTCTCCTCTAAAATGCTAATGGAAAGTCGTTTTTAGGTGTTATTTTGTTTGCTGAAGGCTTTATGGCTTTTCTCCACTATTGTATCTAAGATTCTCAAGACTAAGTAACCAAGACATTTGTTTTCATTTTGTTGATTTCTGGGTGAACTTATACTTTTTGGTTAGGTCTAGTAAATTTATCTTTTCCTCTGCAGGAGAGTTTCCAGCCTTGGAAATGGAAGTGAAAAACAGACTCTTCCTATGTGTCCCTTGCAGGGACAATTGGGAACCAGTGTGCCCGGCTCCTGCTCAAACCTTGAGGACTTGTCCATCCCAGGCAGGGAAGGTAGCTGTTTCGACACTAGTTCAGTGCCAGCACCAGGAGCACTCAAATCTTAGAAATGAGGATGTCTTCCTCTCCAGGGGCTCTCCTTCCTTCCTAGAGAACAGAGCTACCCTGATCACCCAGGAAGTCTCCAGGAAAATACCTCATCTTTAAAAAAAAATTAAAAAGTGCTTTTCCTTCCCTCTCAGTGTATGTCCGTTATTGTGTAGCTACAGTAAGGAAACCGGAGCAGTGGTGACCACTCTTGTCCTTTGTCACCAAGTCTGGTAAGGGGGACTCTCACAGCCCACACATCATCGCTCAGGTGCATCCTGGGCTTTCATGTTTACTCAAGACTCTTTGTGGGTGGCATCACCCGGAGAGTCCACACCTGAGCCTGCTTTCTCTCCACAGCTCTCCACCAGACAGCACCTCTCTGTTAGTCACAGAGGAAGGATTCACCCAGGGATAACTTCCAGAATGGGGTGCTGAGGGTGAGTGGCCCCAGGCTGTCCTAGAGACACAAGTCCTGCCTGGCTCCTCTACCTGAACATAACTTCTCTCGGAAGAGGGCGCTTCCCAGTGACCACTCCATGAAACTTCAAAAGCTACAGCAACTGAGCACTCTACAGATGCAATTTCTTACATTCTCAGCCAGCTCCCATGACTAAAATTTTAGTTTTGTTCACATGCACACACATACACACACAAGCACACACACCCTGACTAGCATCCCATCACCAGCACATTTCCACTGGGGGGCTCTGGTAAGTCTCCACAACCAACAAACTTCTTTCCTGAAGAGTCAAAAAGGAAACAAAAACCTCTCCCTATATTTTGGGTTATTTTATAGTGTTTAACACCTCCGGAGGCAGGAATTGGCCAGTCCTCCCCCTCTCGCTCCTTTTTTCAAAGAACAGGTAAGCTTGCTGCTTTCTTTCCTTGCCTCATAGCCCCCGCTATGTTTAAAAACTAAAATTCTCTTTCCAAAGAGAAAGAAAGGAACAAATTCCATTAATGAATTACATCCGTGGAATGTGGTTTGTCTAGGGCAATTGTATTTGTAAATAACTGGCTTCCTGTTTAGTATATGTGTTTTATTAAGAAAAAGACTCTAATGCCTCTGAACAGTCTTAATACAGAAATAGTTCAACTTATGGTTTGAGTTCCACCCTCATATTCTGTTTATTAGAAAGAAGTGGGTCTTAAGCACCTATGATGTCCTGTCACTTCTAAGTCCTGTCATTTCTAAACATCCCAACTTTGCAGAAGTTCTGGAAGCTGCTGGCTCCATGGGATGCCACAAGAATCAGTGAGTGGCTTCGCTTCTGCCCCTGTGTCTTCCAAAATCTAACCACAACTGCTTCTACAGCTTTGGAAATGAAGCCTGTGGTGGACTGGGCACACACCAAAGGGCTGGTGCCTCAGAGTCACTGCAGGTCAGGGGCCCTAGTCCTCAGGCAGAGATGACTGTGACTCTGTCGGGCAGTGAGCAGCAGAGCAGTGAGCAGCAGAACTTCCCACCTGCAATAAGCAGAGCTGGGCGAGGGAGGCCTGAAACTTCCACTCAGCTGCCTGTGGTCCTGTCTGGCGAGCCCTAGAGGCCTGGCCTTCATACACTCCTGCCGTGAGTGGAGGTTAGTCTACCCTGACTCCTTCCCATCCACAGTCAGAGCAGCTAAAGCCAGCAGGTTGGAGCCTTCTTCTGAGCCTGAGTATCTCCCTCCAGTGAGGCTTCCTTTGGGGAGAGGCACAAAGTCCCATGCTACAGTGCAGAAGTCTCAGGCCCTGGTCTTGCTGGGCCACAGACTTGGCAGAATCAGGGATATGAGGCCAGCTCCTGCTCATGTTGTCCTCAGCTCTGGGCTGAGGGTGGAGGGTTTCTGAGGGCAAGGTCAGCCAGGCCCTAAGCTCAGCTATCTAAACTTCAAGATCAGAGGTCAGCAGAGCCAGAATGAAAAAGTCTAGCCTTCCCCAAAGTTATGGCCATGACCCCTGGATCTTGAGACCCCAGCTCTACCACTTCCCCACCTCCCAGGGAAACTTTCCCAAGTCTCCCTGGCTCTCTGCTATGTTCCTGGGCCCGCTCCTTTCCTGGCCCAGGTAACAACTCTGCAAACTGTCTTTTACCTCAGGCCCCCAAGGCCTGACTACTCCAGCAACAACAACAACAACAACAACAACAACAACAACAGTAACAACAACAGCAGCAGCAGCAACAGCAGCAACAGCTACAACAGTTATTTGGCTAGGGAAGAACAGGATCGGAGGGTGAGGGGTCTATGGGGAAGAGTAGAAATATGGATGAAATGGGATGTTTCAACCTGTGTCTCAAAAGGTTTCCGTTGACAGTTATCAGTAACCCCGATAGACAACTCCATTAAAAAAAAGAAAAAGAAAAAGAAAATTTACTATTGCTCTGCAAAGCTGTTATTTTTTACATCACTTTTAGGACTAAGATAGATGAACAAAACATCGCGTTTCAAGCCATTTTGATCTGTAATTAAATGGCAGGATCGGTTTGTATTCTCCTACGGCTTTTACAGAAGTTGCAGTGATCCAAAGTCGGGTTGCTGTGTCAGACTGGCATTTTTATTAATGAGAATACAAAAAGCTTGCATATTCTTAGCCCTGCTTGAATTTAGTTGCTAAGCAACCGGTGTATGGTAATTCATCCGCGAAATTTAAATCTTTGAGAAAGGATCGTGCGTTTTGCTGAATGGTCGCCACGAGGAAAACAACTTGTGAGACCCACAGCAGCTGCCACGCGGGGCCGGGCCGGCCTAGCAGGGACCAGGCGGCCCCAGGGCCCCAGCCACTGCATCTCTGCCACCTCTGCGGCCTCCCTCCCTGAGAAACGGCTGGGACAAAGGCTGCCTGCCCCTCTTGCTTGCCTCTGGTGACCCCGGATCTGCACCCAAGGTTTGCAGCCCACGCAGGGGCTGCACCTGACCAAGCCCCCGCATCCAGGGGTTTCCAGGTCCAGCCTGCGAGTTGATGAGGCCCCCTCCCCTGGGGCACACCCCAAGCATGCAGATTGCGCACACACGCGCGCACACATGCATGCACACATGCATTGTGCCACCACAAGGATGACTGTTGCCCAGACCCCTCTGAGGTCACTTCCAGAGCCGGCTCCTCCTCAAGGAAGAGGACTCATCCGAGGCGGCCCACAGCCCGCCAGAAGGCCAGGCAGCCACCGGCCGGCAGTGACATCATGGGCTCCTGCCCTGCCGCTCGCGCCCACGTTTTAGGGTACAGGAACAAACACGGATGTCAAATCAAGAATGAAAGAGAGAGTAATCTAATTAATAGGCCATGAGCCAGGCTAACAAAATCAAAGAATCTGATTACACCAGGATCCCTCTTGCTATCTCCGCCGCTCCCATCCCCGGCTCCTCCAGACCCTAGCTATTTCCTTTCCTACCCTGGAAAGTTCAGGAGGTAAACGCAGAGCCCTCTGATTTCCTCATTGAAATCAAGATCAAGCCCACTGTGGGGCTCCCTCAGCCAGAAGGTCACGTGGATGACCTTCAGGCCCCAGGCAGGCAGATGACCAAGCCACCACAGAAGATCTGGGAGCTGGGAAGTGCCCCCTCCCTTCTCCCGGCTCCCCCCTCAGACAGCAGCACCACCTGTACTCATTACCTATGCTATCAACAGCAGGGCCACGGGACAGAGAGGGCTTCTCTGCTCACAGCCATTTCAAGAGGATCTTTTTCTAACCAAGCACCACTCTGCCCTACATCACCTTGCACAGGGTCATGATCACCCCAAACTCTCCAACCTCTTTTAACTCCCTCCCCCAGCAGAGAGCTCTGAACCTAACCAGGTATTAGGTTTTATCACTGAAACCGCATTGCTCTAATCGACACAGCCTGCCACGCGCATGAAAGAAGAGAATACTTTAATTTCTGTCTTTCTGCCTTAAAAAAAGAAAGAAAACCAGGTCCACTTCCTAAATAACTAATTCCAAGTCTGCAACCAGTGCCAATACTTGTTGCATCCATTTTAGAGTTGATTAATTACCCTGGAACTTGGGCAAACTAAACTCCATGTGGAAAGAATGTTTCTTCCTTCAGTTTAGTTCTGAGAGCTACAAGGTTATTGATGGACCTTACTCTATTTACATACAAATTGGTACAAATATGCTCATCTCTTCAAATGCATTTTATATAGATATATAAAAGTGTCATTTTTGATTTAGCTTAAAGATGTTGATCATTTATTACAAAAATAAACGAATAAATACAACAATATATTGTTGCTTCCAACAGGATAAATACTTTACAAATATATAATTTAAAAAAACAAATTTAATTGTTAAAATATTACACTTATTGATAAAACTATCCATAGTATATACTGCATTGAATATTAGAACCAATTATTCTCTGAATGTTGGAAACCATTCACACAAAACAGGTTATGAGCATGGAAATGAACACACAGTGGATGCTACACGGAGGCAGGGGAAGTCTCTCTTAAGAGCCATAGTGGACAGTTCTATTTTGGAACAAAGAAGAAGTCCCTGGCTAAGTACTAAAGAAAAAACAAAAAACAAAAGAGAGCAACAACAGCAAAGTGACTGTTTAAAATACACTGTTTAAAGGACTTATCATCGCAGGGACTTGCCAGGGGACAGGGCTGGGTGAAGAAGGGGAAGGAGGCTTAGGCAAGTGACCCAGAGTCACAGGAGACTGTAAACTGTAAATAGGCCTAGTTTGGGATTAGCCAGACTGGTGGGACAGAACTTGGTCACTTTCCTTTGGGTTGGAAGGGGAGGGGGAGGGATTGACAGGGAGGAAACAAATGAGCACTTTACAAAGCACAAGACACTTGTGCTGCAAAGCAACACAATGACCAAATTCATTAAAAAGATCTGGTGATATGTAACAATATTTTCATTATTTACATGTGTAACAATATAAGCCTTAGCACAAAACCTCTCAGTTATATCTCCTCTCTTTTGTGTTTCAACCATGAATTTCATCTTGTAAATACATTCAAAGGGTTGAATTTTTTTAATAAAAAGTCAAAGCATTAGCCCACTTTATAAAATGCAAAATAACAAAAACAAAATGGGCTTGGTGACCCAGCTTCTCCACTGAAGATCACTCAGCTGCCCCCAAATCAGTGCCTCTTCCAAAGTAATCAACACAGGTTGCTTTTAAATAGAAAACAGTGTGAAATCTAATGTTAGCTCTTTTGTTGACAGCTAAATCAAGTAAGCAAATACTTCCTAAATTTTAAACAGATCTATTCCTTGTCTAATCAAGCACCACCATTTCAGCAGAAAAAAACCAAAACAAAACAGGATTCCAGCTCACATGCCAGCGGTGAACACCATATTCTAACAACCTGCCCAATTCTCAGCCTGCCAGGAGAAGCCTTCTTTGCCTTCCCCGCAAGGCCCTTCAAAAAAACCCCAAGAACTTCACCCCTCCCCACAGGTTGTAAATTCCCGGGGGTGTCTGGGCATTACTATAACAAGAGAAACGGAAAACAAGAAGGCAGAGAAAAGTAAATTGTGGTTTCTTGTCTTTAGTTTTTTCTTTTCTCTGTTTAATAAATATGGCCTTTTTCAGATTTCACAAATCAAAATGATTGTGATTTTTAGTGCAATTTGGTGTTTAAAATAATGCAACCCCATCCACGGCCATCTGGCTAGGGTTGATTTATGGAAGTGACACAGGGGCTGTCTGGAGAAATGACTGCTCCTGGTTGCTCTCTTGGTTTTCCGGGATTTTTTAACCCCTGCATTGATATCACAGGCAGAGGAAGTGAAGGGGAGAGAGGGAGGCAAAAAATGAGCGACAGCTAAGTAAGAATAGGGGAAATTCATCTGTGAAATCATGGCTTAAAGAAAAAAAGCACAATATATAAGGATTCAGCCAAACAAGTCTTGCATCTTAAGCACTCCCAACCAGAGGCATTACACTTTCTTTTTCCCACACTGTAAATATTGATACATTAACTTGATCAATGTGACCACTCTGCAGGGTTTATATAAAAAGTGACCTAAAACAAGCTAAAATCCCCTGTACCGTAAAGAAGATAAAGAATCACACTGGGGAGAGACCGAACCACAGAAACATACAGCCTGCTGCTAGAGCTGGTAATGGCAAAGATGGAATGCACTATGGACCAACAAAGGAGTTTTGAACTATCTTCTCTCATTATAGGAAAAACCAAAAACAACAAAACAGCTTAATAATTTAAATTTAATTACATATAGTTATTAATGGGAAGTAATTGATATCAAAATACTTTATAGACTTCTAAGTTATTCTTCACAACTATTAGTCTTCAGGAAAAGAGCAGAGACATAGGAAAAATTTAGGGGGGATGAGAGGATAAGAGGCTGAACTTGGGGGAGGTGTATCAGCCACTAATTAATCACCAGTTTGGCACATTTTTACTGATGACGTAGTTCAATCATTCAATAAAGAACACAGGTATCTTCAAGAAAAGGGTTAGTATTTATAGACAATCTCACCTAAAAACACTAAAGACACCCACCCACTAAAATTAAGGAAGAGAAAAATATGGTAAAATGCATGGCTTAATAAGGAGTAAACACTGTGTTAAAATACCAGCTGTCCCAGGAAAGCCTGCACCTCACTCAGGGTCACCAGCTGCACCTCAGGAGGTGGAGGCTGTGCTTCCTTAGCACTATTACCTATCAGAGATCTGCATTAGTAAAAAAATATTTTTTCAGAGAACTCTTCTCTTTCCACACAGTGTGTATGCATCAGACACAGACTACTTCCTTCTAACAAATTTATTTTCTCGATCAGCTCTTACGGAATCACTACTCAAATTAAATTACAATCAAATGATCACATCAAAAGATACCCTTATTACCTAACAACTGTCCATATTTTCATTTCATTTTGATTTGTGCTCGTCTGAAAAAAACACGTAATACAAGATCTGGGGAAAAATAAATTACCGTTTTGCAGCAGTTCATAAGTATTCTGAATAAAATATTAAAAGAAGTCATTTAATGAAAATATAAAGCAAATATTTTTAGATCAACAACGGATCTAACGATTCTATATTGCCGTCTTTTGGAAAGTCTGTTTATTAAAACCTACCAAAAACACTGCTTGGAAATGGCAGTATTATATAATCACATCCACAGCACCCATCAGTCAAGGTTGGCAACAAACTGAGGACTGAAGTCAAGGGAAGTGCAGCGGCTGGTGCTCAGTCTCTCTAAATCCCTTTATCGGAGTCAGTCCGGAAATAAAAAATAAAAAATATTGTTAAAAAAAATATTAGCGGTGGCATCTTTAGGCACGGTCCGCCCCGCACGCAGCAGGCAAAGCCGGGTCGGTGGCAGGGCCTGGCTCTGTGGCCTAGGCCCAGTGTCGCCTCTCCAGGCTGGGCGTCCCGTCCCCAGCCTATCTTTTGCTCTTTCTTTGAGATGCTTTTATTCCCAAGGTTACTTTGAGGATACTTTCTTTTGGCTTTGCTGTTGAGTCTGTTAATTTCAGAAGCTGTGAATTTTTTTTCCCCTGGAGACTGGTTTTTGTTTTCCTCTCCTTCCCATTTCATAGTTGATTTGTTTGTTCCCAAATGACTTTAATATGGCCAAGAGAAACAGGGTCCTGCAGCCCAGAGTCAGACCCCGAGGGAACCTGGCGCTGTCGCTCTCTTTCAGGTGGCTCCCAGGAAAGCGCGCTCGCTCGGTGGGTCTCTGAGGCAGCCCTTTGGGAGGAGGTGGAAGAAAGGGGGACTGTCTGTTTTTTTAAGAGGCAAGGAGAACGGGACAGGTGCTGTCCACTGCTGCCTTGTAGGACAACTCGGGGCGCGGAACACCTCACCAGTGCAGTTTTGGTGTGTTAGGCATCTTTAACCTTCATGAAAATAAAAAACAAAACACCACCACAATATAAACGAGATCCCACTGTTGCCCTTCTTTTCCTCTTCCGGTTTTGTTTGTATATATGTATGTAAAACAGTTTGGGTATGTATACTGCTTTTTAAATTTTTTGGTCCCTCCTTCCTTGGACTTGCAAAAAAAAAGTCTCCTCCATCCGTGTCTCCCTCGATTTTTCCTCCAAGGGCGGGCACGCCTGTCTCTGGGCGGAGTGGAGGGCAGCGGCGCGCTGGGCCTCGGCCGGAGGCCGCGGTGCAGGCTCGGCGGCTGGGCGGCGCTCGGTGGGCAGCTCAGTGGCAGCCCGGTGGCAGCTCGGCGGCGGCCCTCTGCGCGCGGCGCCCGGGCGCTCACTGCACGCTGGTCTGCAGCCCGTGGTGCGGCGGTGGCGTGTCGGCGCTCACGGTGCCCACCTGAGAGTACACGTCGTCTGGCGTCTGCTGCTGGATCCCGGGAGGCGTCATGCGCTTCTCCTTCTGGCGCCGGTTGCAGAACCAGACCCGCACCACCTCCTTCTCCAGCTGCAGGCTGTCGGCCAGGTTGGTGATCTCCTGCGCCGAGGGCTTGGGGCACTTGAGGAAGTGGCTCTCTAGGGCGCCCTTGACGCTCACCTCGATGGAGGTCCGCTTCTTGCGCTTGCGGCCCTGCGCCGCGATCTTGTCAATGCTGGTGGGGCTGCCAGTGCTCGAGTCCGCCTCCTCCAGCCACTTGTTCAGCAGCGGCTTGAGCTTGCACATGTTCTTGAAGCTCAGCTGCAGGGCCTCGAAGCGGCAGATAGTGGTCTGCGAGAACACGTTGCCGTAGAGCGTGCCAAGCGCCAGCCCCACGTCGGCCTGCGTGAAGCCCAGCTTGATGCGCCGCTGCTTGAACTGCTTGGCGAACTGCTCCAGGTCGTCGGACGTCGGCGTGTCCTCGTCCGAATGTGGGTCGTGGCTGTTGAGTCCGGGCCCCGCGCCGCCGTGGTGCGGGGCGCCCTGCGCGTGGTGCGGGTGCGGAGGGTGCGGGTGCGCGTGGTGGTGGTGGTGGTGGTGGTGCTCGGCCAGCTCGGGCGTGTCCCCCCGCACCAGCCCCGGGTGCACCAGGCTCTGCGCGCCGCCGCCCGCGCCCCCGCCTCCGCCACCACCTCCGCCGCCTGGTCCTGGGGGCGCGCTCAGCATGCCATTCACCGTGAAGCCCCCGGGCTGCGAGTACAGCAGGCCCTGCGGCGGTGGCTGCTGGCCTCCAGCCATGGACGGGAGGTGCGCGGCTGCGGCTGCGGCTGCAGCAGCGGCTGCAGCAGCGGCGGCAGCGCCCCAGCCCCCGGGGTGGCCCTGGTGCGGGGGTGGCGGCGGGGGTCCCAGATGCGGTGGCCCACGGTGGTGCAGCGCCGCGCCCGCGTGCAGGTCGTCGCGTCCCGCACCACCCTTCACGTCGGGGCCCTGCGGGGGTGGCGGCGGCGGCGGCGGCTGTTGCGGGCTCCCGGCCATGCCCACCGCGCTGCCAGACCAGGGCGCGCTGGCCTCCACCGCGGCGGCGGCGGCGGCGGCAGCGACGGCGGCATGGGGCAAGGCGGTGACCCATTGGTGCGCGTGGCCCAGCATATGGCCGCCGTTGCTGGCGGCCATGGCCCCCTGCATGAAGTCGCTCTGCACCATCTTGACGGAGGCCGGGTCCCCGCGGTAGGCGCCTGAGGTCACGGCGGCGCTGCCTGGCTGCATGGCGCCGCCGCCGCCCCCCGCGCCGCCCCCAGCGCCGCCGCCGCCGCCCGCAGCGTCCGAGTGCACGATGGAGCCGGCCGCCAGCAGGCTGCTGCCCGGCAGGTACGGGTTAGAGGCCGCCGTGGCCATACCGCCCCGCTCGCGCCACCCCACGGCCGCCACCGCCGC